ATTATCAGTGTAGCTGATCCTAAACTAGCAAATGATAGTAAAAAGGCGTTGCGTGATAGAAATGACCTTGAAGGAAGACCCATCAGTTTGGAGGCCCAAGGGCAATTAGTCTGAGCGGGACGAGGGGAAAGCAGGAAAAACTATAGCAACAACAGTTTTCAACTACGCCTGGTCGGACTTGAAGGCGTCCGAAAGTTTTTAAAGCGTTTACTTCTTCTCGCACGCCAAACTGCCTCTGGGCCAGTACTAGCTATTCCTTTTCTGGCAGTTCGTGGGGAAAGAACATCACAGCCGTTGAAAGTCATAATGACGTTTGATTTACAAAAGAAAACGAACAAAATAGACACTGAGGAAGACTTACAAAATACACAGAAACAAAACGAAAACGAGCGCAAAACGTCAAAGAAAGAAAAATGAAAAAAGAAAAAAACAAAAACAAAACAAAACAAAGCAAAACAAAGAAACAAACAAGCAAAAAGACATTACGAGAACACAGGGGTGCCTTCATCATGACATCGATCATAGTCATGGTTTTTTTTAATAGCTTGCAAATAATCGTGTTGTAAGGCATCATACCAGGTACTGGACGTTTCCTAATGCCTTTGTTCTGAACGTCAACTATTCAAGATGTCGAGTCACTGTGCATGCCTGTATTCATAGTGGACACCTACCTAAGAAGTATGGAGTGGTTATTAGGCTTGTCATCATAAACCTCTTCGTAAACAGCTTGGGTGATGAAACCAGGATACGACTCTTCTATTTCAATATGATACTTAATCTGCAGAGCAAGTCTCTTGATTGTAGCTAGCTTTTTCATTTTCTCGGTATCTCCAACGGCCAGACCAACCTGTACAGAAATGATAACTCAGTTGACCGACGTCCGGAAAAGAACTCCTGACCAGACGTACTACACATGATAACTTATTTGAAATAATACCAAGTTGTAATTGGCTGAGAGTGAGTGCAACACGAGTAACACGAATGCCACGAAGTATAGCCTGACCGGAAGGAGGACATGGGAAAAATTAAGTTGGGATAGTTAAAGTGCATAATTAATTAACCTCTAGCCTCTTTGTATATTTTTAGCTAATACTAGTGAAAAGAGTTGGTTAACTTACAACTTTTCAATTATTTTTTCAAACATTCAAATTTTGTTATACTTTTAATAACAAAATGAAACTCAAATTTCAAAATGTTATATGTCCTGACCGAATGGACGTATTAGAAGAGAATAAACTAGTTTTAAGATCCTCGTGGCAAGGTATTTCAGAAGCTCAGTGTTATTTGTTATCCCACGTTGCCAAAACAAAATTTGGGGCTAATTTTATGACGTCATATTCCTCCCAAAACTAATAAAATCTTAAAGACTAAAAGCGTAGAATTTCAGATAATAACAATTTACATATTGTTTCAAACATTCATTTTATTAGTAAAGTGCACCTTCGGTGGCAGTTGCCCAAATTGGCACATTTGGCTTGATTTCGTAATGGATCATAATATGTACAGGATGTTTTCTTACCAAGAGATTCATCAGTCCAACGCTCAACAAAAACAAGCACAAGAAGAGAAAAATGTATGCTACGGATGGGAATGGATTTGCCGGATTTTGGTGTGAAGATGTATCCACGAAGGTTGCTCCGAAGTCGAGCTCTCCAATCATCATAACCAACACACGAAGTGTGGACAGAGCCACGGTGTGGAATCCAGCCTGGAATAAAATACAGGATGGTTAAAACATACCGAGGCCAATAATTACTACGCAGCGTCGTTCTTTTATTGGAATAATAAACGCATAGTAGATACAGTGGAACCCCGCTTTAGGACCACCCCGTTGATACGGTCACCTTGTTATTAAGGCCACTTTATTCCGGCAGGAAAAAAAGCTCAGTCAGTCATTTTGTTATTTAAAGATCCCCTTTAATACGGCCACCCCGTTAACACAGCCAGATTTTTTTTGGCCCGTTGGTGACCGCATTCACGAGGTTCCACTGTAGTTCCCTGGATTGTGGGGCAATTAGATGTCGATGAATACGTGGTCTTTCTCATCGTTTTCAGTTGAAATTTCATTTCTGTTGTTTTCTAGCTACTCCCACTGGTGTCTCTGCGTGCCCATCTAAGCATTCCACTGGGTACTGGTAAACTTTCCAGAAAACCAACCTACAAATATATCGTGACACGAGGTACAGAGTGGCAAGAGGGACTGCGAATTGTCACACACAATCAACCCATAGAGAATGACTAGCACTTAGTCAAAAAAACAGCTTGCGCCCCATAACTTGCTACTATTCAGGTAACATTTCGCGAACTGATAATGTTCATTTTTTTTTTTTATTATTATTTTCATTTGAATTTTTACCTTTAGTTTCTAAATGTTACACGGTTGGGTTTATATTACATTTTGGAAGAAGGGAAATTCCAGATTTCGCTCTTTCTCTCTGCAAATGAACGGTGGATAGCGAAAGCGAACCAGTGGGCCAAAATCATCATTAATATTGGTTTGTGCATCTACATGTAGCTTATTGTCAAAAAAGCGTTTTTTGTATTTGCTAAAACAAATTCGAAGAGCAAGAGAAAGCAACGCACCTCAAAGCAACGCAAATATGCATATAATTCAATTATGTAATTTCAAAACGTGACATTTAGTACTTTGGTTTTGCAATGGGAACAAGAAACAAGGTGCATTTGCTACGTCCCCTGGAGGTAAGCTAGTCTATCGCACGTTAGCTAAGTACGTTTGTCCGGTTTTGTTTACAGTTTGTCAGTGCCCATTGATGCTGTTGGGTTGCTAGATAGATACACTAAACGCGGCTAGTTGGCCAAAGTCAAACGGAGCGCAACAGCACTAGACTCTAGAACTTACTCGATTTGGCTCCAACGCATTGACCATCATCGCACCAATTATACCAATCCCCAGCCGCTCTTACAGGAGATCACACCTTATCGCTTATATGATACCACTTACCTGTTCCTTAAAGAGGATGAAAAAGACCAGTGCAAATGCCACGATGAGGTAAACAAATACCGCCATTACTTGAAACACAGTCTTGGTCACTTCAAGATACATTGAGATATAAGTGCCAAACAGTCGATATCTTCTAAGGAACAGCATCATGTTGATATGGCACACAAAAATTGCCACAGCCCCAAGAATCCAAATATCACGTGGGTCCTTCATGCTTGAGAACCTTTCATCGAGGGCATCAAGAGAGGTAACATAGGGCGCCATGAAGATGGTAGTACTGATATATAAGATCCAGTCGAGGTAATTGGAAAATTCCTTAAAATACTTCCAACGCTGGATGTATATCTGAAAAAATTCTTTGCATATGTGCAATATGGCGAAAAGCAAGACAATGTATGGCACTGATTTCGAAAAGGCAGAATCCTTCTTGTAAATATCAGAAGGCTTTGGATTGTAGGCTTCTCCAGATGTGGTCATATTTGGTGGCATGTCAGCGCCATTCGGAGGTCTGAAATCCACGCCTCCCCTTTGCTCGACTACAAATATGCTGAGAAGTACCAGCAAGATGAAATAGGTGACAAAGTCGAAGATAAATCCGAACCTTCCTAACGTGATCCATTTTCTTTCGTGGTATTTCAGTGTGAGAGGATGAAGAAGGAGCCGCTCGCGTTGATGCTTGATCATCGTTTTAACTGCAGAAAACCTTCTGCTGCAGTCCTTTACCTCTGGACCAGGATCCAAATACTTAAAGTCGTACGTGACTGTATATTCTGGGTCGGTAGTGTTGAGGTGTGGAGAGTGATGCATGCATTGGTTGAGGACAACTTCAGCCGCTTCGGGAAAATTTTCAATCAGGAGTGAGATTGAAGTCTGCCCAGTTTTTGTCTGGTAGTTTTCGAGTTCCACCCATCTTGAAAGGAAAGAAAGAAGCAGGTTTGACAAAACGCTGAAACTACTACTCTCTCACGTTTGATCGTGTCAGATAGTTCTAAATTATCGCATTAAAAATGTCTTACATTCATCACAAACTAACATTTCGTGGCCACTAAACAGACACATCTGAATAATTGAATAATAAATTCAATCGACTATCGAAAATAATTGGTATTGAAAAACTACGCCCAACACGATTGCCTTGAAAAAAAAATTGCGCTACTTTGTCATCCAGAAGTAAAACCAAAACCAATTGTGACTGACTCGCACACCTTTTTCCTCGCTTTACGTTAGCTATATGTATTTGGCTCGCGTTTTGACGGGATCACTAGATTGACTGTGTCCTTTGCGATTAGCCAGAGTCATTGCTTTAGTTTTGGTTTTACGAAACTCAGTTGAAAACGCTTCTTCACTAGTAATTTAATTTCGTGGTTATTCAATTGTCGATCGATTGACAAGACATTTGAAGGACCTCTTTCAGTTGCAAAGGAAGAACTATATCCACCTTTGATGTTACTTCTATCTATAGTCGATCAAATATTTCTAAACCCGTCACGTGACTGAATATGACTCAGCTAAAACTGGCTAATATCCGAGTGATATCCAACGTGTCTCAAACAATCATTGTCGTTTTTGTTTGTCTTCGCTTCGACGTAATTTATTCTGTAATAAATTAACTAGGGCTGCCAACTTATCGTGTTTTGTGACGTCATCCTGTTCTGGTTGCCTGCTTTATGTAAATGTACCCCGGAAAAAGGCGCCAATTATCCTTCTTACACTATTCTCCATTCGATTTTAAAAATAAGCTCGGATGATATTTGTTCTTGGACATTATCTGTTCGGCGAAGCCCACAGTTTTCCTCGATCATTTCTCTCGGAAAACCGTTCTCGGAACAGATAACTTATTTTCGCGCCGAATGAAGGACACTGCATCTGAGATATTGTTTACATATTATTTCCAACAGCGACTAACCTTTTGTGTTTCGCAATTGCCATGGCAGCATCAGAGGATCCCGCTTTTGCTGCTATTTCCAAACAACTATACTTTCGTTTATTGCGAAGCGTCAAACTTGCCCCGCGGTCCAAAAGTAGACGCATTATCGTTGCGTGACTCAGTCCACACGCCATGTGTAATGCAGAGTCACCATTTGTGTCTTGAAGGTCAATGGTGGCTTTGAAATCCAGTAGAATCTGGGCACATTGCAGGTGGTTTCTCTTTACAGACCACATTAGAGCTGTTCGGGAGTTATTATCCCTGCTGTCAACTTCCGCTCCCAATTTGAGAAGTGTCTCACAAGTTTTTCTGCGAAAAGCCAAAAAGAAACAGTCCGCAAAATTTGAAGTGGCTGGAAACTTTTCATTTGTGGGTTGTTTACATTTCCAGTTTTTGCAAGCACTTTTTGACAATTATAAGATTTAACCGATTTGGTTGCGCTTTAAGTACAGAATACTTGCCAGGGTTGACTGTTAAGAAATGTTTTAATACTTTATGTGGAGAGAACCCATTTGAGAAAACAACACATTTTTACAATCTCAGTTTGCGCAAAAACTATTTGTAATCAGTTTGAAATACAACCTCTTACTAACCGAGCGCGAGGGCCGCGGTACTGGGGAATATTGTCGTGAGGTCGTGGGAGTGGAAAAATTCATTTTATACGCATTTTGCCCCTCCCCTCCCCTGTGCGATGTTGACAAAACACTTCCATCTAACACAAGTTTTCATTTTACTATTTTCCAACATTGAAAGGGGGAATGGGGGTGCTGGCACTTATTCTGTAGCTATTGCGGTTATGAGTTTGTGTTTTTGGCATTTTCCAACACAATTTGTCCATGGTTGTAGGTTAGTAATTAGTATATTATATGGCACTCGAGCCATGCTTCTTTTGAATTTGCCGGCTTTCGAAAACAAAAAATACACAGCTTATGACCGTTTCCATAGAAACGGTCCGTATGGCGAAATCCCGACCAAGAAAGAACCAATCAGGACACTCGGATTTACCTCAAGACTAGCTTGCCATACAATAATTCATTTTATCGAAGAAGCCTCAGATTACAGAAATTAACCCCCTGTTTTACAAGTGGAGGTGGAAGGGGGGTGTTCCATTATGAAACAGATGTATTGCAATAGGCAGAAAGTATATTTCATATAATTTTGACATTCCTTTTTGACAGTTAGCTTGAGAATTTCAATTACCGCCAAAATAGTTACATTTTTTCTCACCAAATGCATTAGGAAGTCGGCAAACTAGCCAAGTTCCGTCTAAGTTATTTGGTATTACCTTTGTCCTTTTCTAGCCGCATTGAGCAAAGGTGTTCGTCCAAGTTCATCTCGTTCATTAACACCAGGCATTCCCCTGGCCAATAGTTCCACGTGTTTGGACGAGGAAGATTCTGCTGCGAGATGAAGAGGTGTCTTTTGATTCTCATCTCGATATGACAAATATTTTTGCTTGGATAAGACCAGCTCTAAAATCTACCAAACAAAGAGATTATTTTCAAATGGTGACTTCAACAGTACGTTTAGCATCAAAATTAATTACAAAGAAAAACAGTCGTCATAAAGTCTGACTGCTGGTGTGCCATAAAGTCTGGAATGAGAAACTCTTGAATACGTCTCTCCGAAAAAACTGCTTCATCTTGGGGTAAAAAAAAACTCGAATAGGGGCATCAGTTACAGAAATACTGGTTGTCAGGGGTCGTCATGGAAATAAAACATAGAAAAATCCGATGGCTGGGCTATATACTTAGAAGGGATCAGGCTCACATTTCTAACAGCCTAAGGTTGCCTTGCGATGGACACAAACTGGCCAAAGGAAACCTGGTCGGCCATAAACTACCTGCCGCCGAACTTTAATGGCTGAGCTTAGTGAAGTAAACCTCACACGGGGGGAGACACAACATGCTGCACAAAATAGTGATAGATGGAGAAGAATTAAAATTCTAAGAAGCATCTTAAAAGAAACTTTGTTTCAAAAATTTTTTTATGTTGTTTTAATTATCTCCCTCTCTTTTCTCTCAACTGAGATTGCAGGATAGGTGAAATTGAAAGGGAATAAAAAAGAAAAACATGACACCAAATTAAAGTTCCTTCAGTGATCTTCTTTTAATATTGTCGATACTGAAAATGGGGCAACCAGCGTAGTATATTTCGCTTGTGGTCACATTTGCAGTACTTCTTTTTAGCAAACGTTTTACCTTGATATCTTTTGACTTGGCAGCGTAGTGCAAAGGAACCCTGTCCCACAGATCCGCTTTGTACAGATTTCTTGTACCGTGACGACTCTCCAGAAGCATTGCTAGGATCTTTAACTGCTCATTTTCCACCGCGATATGAACACAAGTTTTCATGAGCAAATCGGTTGCATTCACGTCAGCACCAGCTTTAATTAGCACCCTGGCGGAGTCAATATGCCCTGCAGCTACGGCGTTCAGGAATGGCGATTGGCCCTCACCATCATGTATGTTCACTTTGGCTGCCTTTTCAACGAGAAGCGAAATGAGTTTTGTTTGGTTAAACTGAGAAGCCCTGGAAACCAACAATAATGTTTCAAAAATGTTACATACGACGACATGGGGGCTTGAAACAACTAAGAATATTACTTTTCTTTCTGAATGAGATTTTTTTATCGGAGACTACCTTCTGCATATGCCAATTTTAGAAAACATCATGAAAGCCCCAGTTTGCCGCCAGATGCATTAAAGAGATTGGAAGTAATTCGAGACGCTTACTTTTGGGTTTTTCCAGGTCAGCCAGTCATGCTCCATTGAAGTATTAATTATTGGCACAGAATGTTGGAAGTGATCAGGAAGCTAGACTAGCTTGACTCCACATGCATTAGAGAGGTCGACAGTAATTCGAGACGCTCAATTTTGGCCTTTCCGGGTTATCCAGTCATGTTCAATGGGAGATATTATTAGCACAGAATGTTAGAAATGATCAGGAAATGCTCTAGTTTGACTCCAGGTGCAAAGTATTGACACGGTTTTCATCCAGTCATATAGTATGAATACAGATTGATATCTGGAGACGGTCCAGTTCAAACACATTCATTTGCTACTCCGAGTTTCATGCTTCTCGCGAAGTAATCATTAGTCAATTGCCAAAAATAAAGGTTACAGCCTAAAATATACGCATTTCGGATTGTGACCATTTTTTTTTGGCAGTTGCCTGATGATTGCTCCGAGAGAAGCATGAAACTCGGAGTTGCAAATACATGTGTTGAACTAGTCCGATACCAGATATCAATCTATTCGCAGTTCTGGTTTTTCCATTGAGCGCTTTAGTAGCAAATGGAGTCTTCAGATTATCCGCTCGTAATTTATATACATATATCGGTATACAAACCTGTGAAGCGGTGTTTTGGAGTCTCCATCTTTCATGTTAACACCAGCTCCTCTTGATATTAGCAACTCCGCCATCTCAAGATTCCCTTTAGCAGCCGCTATGTGTAGTGGCGTGGTTTCCTTAGATTTCCTAGTGTTGACGTCTGCGCCATGGTCAAGACACAGTTCAGCGGTCTTGACATCGTTATTCAAAGCAGCCATGTGCAAAACAGTGTTGTCCTGTAAGTCCTTGTTCCCCACCAGTTGCTTTTCAGTCGTATCAACATCTCTGTCAGCGGCTGGGAAAGATGGGAAAGAGAAAAAATATATTTCAGGACTTTCACTAAAGTAAAACTGCAAAACTGTCGAGAGCTGCCAATGGATGATATCAGGCTGTTGTGCTTCAGAAGATAATGTTATTGTTTCAAGCTAAGTGTAATAATAATATATGAGAGAATCACTGAGCCATTAAAGGGGTCCGGCCTTCCTGCAAAAGAAGTGCAAAAAAGTGGAAAACGAGTGCAAAGTGCAAGTTAATACGAAGATTCTGAAGTCAGTGGGGAGAAATTCGAAGACGCTGACGATCATCCAAGGTATTTCAAATATGGCCGAGAGTCACCTGAAGCCTTTCGATGATGGCCAAAGATCAGACCGAAAACATCGTAACATCGCCCGAAGATCGCCTGAGTTAGGTAGTATATTGATGCATACTCCTGGTTTTCTCTCAAGAAGATAACACTAAGATTGCTAGTTGGGGAAAATAGTGAGAGAGAAAATAAAAGGCGTCGGGGTAGGAGGTGGAGGAGGGTGGAGAGGTGGGCAAGGGAAAGCGAGAGAACGGACTCTTTCGCTTCTCGTCCCCTATCCCTCCTCATTTTTGTCAGTTCAACACCTGGAACAGACTAACACTAAGGGACCTAAGAGAATGAAACGTCACACTATTTTTTTACAATTATGTTTTCAGCGAACCTTTTTTTTTTCCATCACAGATGACAGTAGGTTAAATACGAAAAACCGAAGAATGATAAATAGGCAGCCGCTAACCTTACTTTTCTACATAGGTAAGGTAGGTAGGTGTAAAGATAAAATCCGGATTACTGATGGAATAACTCACTGATCATAACAACAACAATAACAACAGTTACCTTGTTGTGCATTAAATAAATAAACAAATTAAAAAAACAAAACAAAACAAAAATAGTCAATGTTTTATTGTTTTTGATCAAGCAAATTCACCAAGTTCTTTGAAACGGGTTCGAAGTTCTTTCCAAAGATGTATTGCCTGAAAAGAATTCTTCTGTTTTCCTATTTTTGTCCTTATGCGTGCAGTACGTAGTTTGTGCAAATTTTGTGCAGCTGCATATCTGGTATTGTAACTATGTATATCACTGGCGTGCTGGAAAACGCTGTTGAATAGTTTAGGCAATTGCCTAATTACAGTTGTCACATGACTAATTTTATCACTTCTACAGTCATATCTACTTTCTAACCTCGGTTAAGTATCATTGTTGCCACCTGTGAATGCCCATTCAGAATGGCGTTGTGTAGAGGAGTCGTGTTGTCTGCCGTAACTGCCTTGATGTCTGCTCCTTTGTTCAGTAGAAGCTTGCAGACTCTGCAATGTCCTTCACTACAGGCCAGGTGCAACGCAGTTTTTCCAGAGCTATCTTTTGCATCAACTTTGACTTTCGGGTGCTCTAAAAGGACTTTAACGATCTCTTCGTTTCCTCTGCGCGCTGCAAAGTGCAATGGAGTGCTTCCCTTTTTGCCTTTGATTGAAGGGTCGGCACCCCCTTGTAAAAGAGCGTCAACGGTGGAGAGACCATTGAACCTAAAGGAAGGGATCACATGTTAAATGAACAAACAAACAAAGAAACACACATACAAAAACATTATTTATCAAAAGGATAATGGCGAATGTTTGGGATGTCCTTGGAACAATACTGAAATACTATGAAACAATTCCAAAAATAAGTTAGGCGTATTTACAGTCTCTTGTTGAAGGAAGATTCAAGATACCATGATTGCCACCCTCTAAAAAGGAGCATAACAATTGTTCGAGTCATCTGCTTGTCTGTTTCGCAGTCATTTAAGTCGGTTTACTGGGTAGTCGCACGAAACGCGTAGCCACGTGTGAGATAACCATTGGAGGAGTACAATGTCATTTTCAATAGGTAGTTGGGCATCCTCGCGTTTTATTTTGATCGCCCATTCCATCCTGCGACGGATATCCTTGTGAATATATGAAATATTGCATCTTGTCTGTTGTCTGATCGACCGCTATACCTACAAACTGCAGCTGCACATCATTTGTGAAAAGTAATTCTTCTTGGCGTTTTTTCCTGCCATTTTGGTGGCCCTTTGGCCTCTTTTTCACGTTACCTCCGGGTTAGGGCGGACATAGGCTCGATCACCAGCCGCTGTTCGGGAAAGGAGCCCGCGCTCATCCCCCCGGCCTGCGTAGCAGGCGTATAAAGGGGAGGGGGGGGGGGGGGGGAGGAGGAAGAGAATTCGGGAACGGGAGGAACGTAGACCGGACTCGAGAAAGCGGCGGAAATCGAGCCTAGGGCGGACATACAGTAGAGAAAGAACGGAGCGGCGCTATATGTTGTCTGAACCACATAGGACGGAAGAAAAAAATGCGCCATGTAACTAAGAAAACAACAGAATAAAAGAAAATGAAAGAAACAATATGCTAGAAACCTCCAAGATCACAGAATATCATGCGACCAACATAACTTTCGAAGGCACATTGAGATTGAGGCATAACCAAACAATTGCTGTTGTTCAATCCTATAAGCCTCGGCACCATATTGATAACATTAAGAATTTTAATACTATCGAAATTGGCCTATTCAGATTGTTTTCGATGACATCGTTTAAAGTTGCCATGTGAAACCTCTAAGAAACAGAAAATTAATACAAACAAAACTTAGAAAAGGCTTAAATAGCGAACAGCTCAGAGGTCTTCACAATCAGTAGCGCCGATCTCAGCTGGATGCTGGGAAGGTCTGTAAAATCGACGCAAATATCATGCAAATTTTCGGTCTGTTTAATTTCTAAAAAAAGCATTTCTGACCTTTTAAATCTCGTTTTTTTTTTCCTACTGATGATATTAAAAGAAACATGCTACTCCAACCTTGTAGACATTTAAGATATTCATTCAAAAATGGAAGATTAATCAGAGCTATTTAGCTGTGATGTACGTTGAACTGGAAAATTACTGACCCCTGTAATGTAATTCTGTTAGACTTGACTTGTAATCAAAATAATATATATAGCTTATTTTTCAATATGGTTGCACCTGTACCGGCCACCCGTTTTGAAGCACGAAGCATGCAGCCCAAACTGTCGAAAATTTTTAGAAGGTGATCTACCGAGCAGTCATTGCTTATAGATAAATTAAGAAAATCTTCTAAAGCATTCATAACAATTTGTTTAGTTGGGGCATATCGTGACCGAAACCAAAAAGAAACTGAATTCTCGGGACGCGATTTTGACCATTGTCGTTACACTGAGAAATAACTGAGAAAAAAGCAATGTAGAACACATAGACCTTACAAGTTCCAACTCACCTGGCAGCTAAATGAAGGGGTGTCCACCGGTATTCACTTGTGCCAATGTTAACATCTGCTCTATGTTTTAACAAAGCGTTCACGATTCTGTGTAAGTTGTAACGAGCTGCGACATGAATAAGCGCGAAGCCATGTCTGTCGGTCTTATCGATCTCTTGCTTGTTCAAGTGGCCGAGTTCTTCTTCGACGAATTCCAACTTGTCCTCGCGGACAGCTTCTAAGAGCCTCAGAGTATGAGCCGATACAGGGGTTGTGATGTCGCTCGTTTCTCGAGAATAAACAAAAGTCGGACTACCTGGCTTTGTCTCGGGTTTGATATCGACTCGCGGTGTTAAAGACTGTAATTCGCCTGTTTCTTTCTGGTCTTTCTTGAACCTAAAGGGATTTGAACTTGAATCGCGCCCTCTTGGCTTCCGCTGTGCTGTGTTTTCTTCTGACATTTTTTATTTTTTTCGCTTCTCTTCTCTCGTTTCGTCGTTTTGAGCCGTTCCGTCTGAAGCGAGATGTTACCTTAGGGTCGACCTAGGGGGTATAGTAATTAATATACGTTGAAAATTTGCATCATTTAACACAGGAATCCTATGATAGGCCACACCATCAATCAATGCATTTAGTTCAATGATTTTGATTTAATAGCTGCTCTTGTTTCGCATTCCTGGTGGGAATTATACGCATGGTCTAGTCGTCACTCAAAATGATTTTATGATTGTTGACCGCGACTCAGTGATATCGGTGCTATAACATAAGAGTTAAGGCCAGTTAAGGCCTATAGTTCGCGCTAACGACATGACATAACTGGACATGCCAACATAATGACATAACGACATAACGACATATAACGACAGGATGTTCTCTGCAAACATGAGGACATAACGTCCTTCTCGTGTCGTTATGTTTATGTCGCTATGTCGCTGGTGTGAACTAGGCTTAACCAATAGGAATGTTGACTGACTCGTCACAGACCGTCAAGGAGTTTTCTTTGTCAGCCTTCTGATTTAATTCTCGAATCGCGCTTTGAACAGGTGGGAACATATCAGGATGGGTTACGACCAAAAATAACTTTGGCAATTAATTATGCTGTTTGCTAATGCTGTCCTGCTCATTTCCAACGCAGCTACCGTTTACTTACCCTGGCTGCCAGAGTTGTTTTTTTATTTCGTAGCGTAGCTGCGATTGTAAGCGGCGAAGCCGCGATCGAGATCCTGCATTGATCGCGGCTTCGCTACGAAAATAATATATAGATTTAGGCCAGCCTAAAAGCGGAGCTCCTCAGTTATTTTTCGGAATGTTGCTACTAATGAAAATAATCCAACATGTATGAGGTAAATTGCGAATGATTTAACAGTTTCAGCCGGAACTAGTATTACATCAGCAGATCGAGGTGAAAGATGGTGTGATTATGAAATATAGAGC